GAGTAGTGATTACTACCCAACAGTGCTTTTTAAGGATGAAGCATATAGGGTTTCACTTAATCCAATGCAGTCATAGTAGCAACTTGAAGATTCAAATAAATTGTAAATTATGATTACTGGGATAGTTTTCCTTGGGAATTAAAATTAAGCAAAAGTTTGATAATAGATAATTAGATCTCTTGGAACCTTCATGCTGTGAAGAAGCTCTTGCTGCCTGGAAGAGACCATGTGGAGAAGAATGAAGGACCCTGGTCCCCAGCCCAGCTGTGCCCTCCGCCCTTTTCCTCACAAGCCAGCACCAGCCTGCCAGCCCTGCGAGCTGTCCTATCAGGAGATCCTCCCACCTCCCGCTGAGCATCCCAGTGACCTCGTGGAGCAGAGATCTGCTAGCCCATCAAGCCTAGCCCAGATGATTAGCAAGACAAATGGTTATTGCTATTCTAAGCTGGGGAGCTTTGGAGTAGTTCCTTACACAGCAATAGCTAACTGATTTAGAAGTCACGAAACATGATGGTAGGAATAAATGGAAGGGTACCAGCAATGACAAATGTAAGTGAATCAGACTCACTTAGAATTCAGAAACTATCAGGTTAGAGCTACAGATTCTAAAACCTAGCCATATAGTTGCTTCGAACTATATAAGTTTTCAGTAATACAGAAAGTTTGAAAATTAAAGGCTTGAAAGTTATACATATACCTGTCAAATGTTTTAAAAAAAAAAAAGGAAGATGGTATAGCAATATCAGTAAAATGTATACTTCAATAAACAACATGGATTAAGAGACGCAGTACATAATGATAAAAATATTTTTTAAAAGATGACACTTATGAACCTAGAGTCACTTTGAATATATGAATCACTTGGAGGAACTGATAAATCTTTTCCCGTTTTGGGAAATTTTGACATAACCATGAAGTGATGAGTCTTTCGGATCATGAGTGTTAAACGGAGTAAGTGTACATGTGGGTGAGAGTGAGGGCAAGAGCCTTCCTCCCTTGTTAGCACACATGTGTTGTCATTGCTCTTTAAGAAGTGATCTAGCAACATCTATTAATAATACAAATCCACTATTTTTACCAGTCCCTCTCCTGGAATCTGTCCCAGAGAAATAGAAGGACAGATCTACCAACATGCTTATTGCCTCCTTGCTCACAGAAATGAGGAAACAGAAATAAATTAGATGCCCATTAGTAGGATGCCATAAACCAATAATATGTTGCTACTCTTTTGCTTTTGAAATCAGTGTCTTTCAGAATGAATAAAAATTAAATGTGGGAGAGGCAGCTGCAGTGCCAAGCGGAGGAGGGAGGCAGGCGAGCACGAGCCGTGGCTGGGTAGGCACCATGGCCGGGTGGGCACCGTGGCCGGGTGGGCACCGTGGCCAGGACTACCCACCATGGCGGCGGTGAAGCACAAGGTCCAGGGTCTTGAGCAGCAAGATGACGCAGAGGAGAGGGCCGAGCACCTGCGGCTGGAAGTGGAGGGGGAAAGGGAGCAGGCTGAGGCCAAGGTGGCCTCCTTGAACCCTACGATCCAGCTGGTTGAAGAGGAGCTGGCCCACACCCAGGAGCCCCGGCCACAGCCCTGCAAAAGCTGGAGGAAGCAGAGAAAGCCGCTGATGAGAGTGAGAGGTGTGGAGGTTCTCGAGAGCTGAGCCATAAAAGATGAAGAAAAGATGGAACGCCAGGAAATCCAACTCAGAGAGGCCAAACATATTGGAGAAGAAGCCGATCGAAGTCTGAAGAGGGGTCTCAGAAGTCGGTGATTGTACAGGGGGACCCGGAACGCCCAGAGGAACGAGCTGAGCTGGCAGAGTCCCGCTGCTGGGAGGTGGATGAGCGGATCCCAGCGACGGACCAGAACCGGAGGGGTGTGTGTGCTGCTGAGGAACAGCACTCTGAGAAGGAAGACAGCGATGGGGAAAAGGCAAAGATTCTCATGGTTAAACTCAAGGCGGCAGAGACCGGTGCTGAGTTTGCTGAGAGATCGATCGGTAGCCAAGCGGGAGAAGACGATCGATGATTTGGAAGATAAGCTGAAATGCACCGAAGATGAGCACCTCTGCACACAAAGGATGCTGCACCAGGCTCTGCTTGGTCTGAATGAGACCACGAGCACCCTAGGCCCGCCCTGCTGCTGCTCCTCCCTCTGACTCCCAGACCCCCAGCCTGCCCGAAGCTGGCCTTGAAACCAAGAGCTAATCTTTAACAGGAAGGCTGCTTTCTCCTTTTGCTGCTTCTGCTATCCCAACCCATGTCTTTTTTGCCAGACTGTCTGCCTCTCCCTAGGGTTTCCGGCTGGGCTTAAGGCTGAGCACTCTTGGGAACAATGTCTTAAGGAAATGACAGCACCATGCTAAGTGTCTTTAAAAGCGTGTTGTAATGTATACATTTTGTAATTAGCTTTTTTGTTGTTGATGTAGCGACCATTTGTAAAACATTCCAGATAATTCCCCAGTTCTGAACTAGCAGTCTGACCTCTTACTCATATTTGGAAAGTAACTTTTCAGCTTAATGCATATTGCCCTCACCACAGAGGAGGAAAAGCTTCAGGGGTCCGCCTTACTGAGAGCCAGAGCCTGAAAGAGACCCAGGCTAGGAGGCGTCATTGCTCTAGAGGTCCAAAGTACCAGGCAAATTAGAAGAGTGATTCCAAGAGGAGTTGGTCCAAAAAGTGTGACTCAGGGTTTCAGCTTCAGGGTGTCTTTGAGCAACTTTATTTTCAATTTCTTTTTTCCATCAGAAGTGACCAAGGGTGGCTAGACCCCTGTTCAACAGTGTAATGGCGCCACTCACTTTAGATCAGCTTGCCTAGTTTCTCATGAGCTGTCTACCATAATTCTGATCTTTGTGTCTCCATATTTTGGGTGTTTTTACTCCTCTGGCTGCCTTCAAGATTTTCTCTTTGTCTTTGGTTTTCAGAGTTTAAGATGATGTGTCTATGTGTGTGTTTTTGTTTTGTTTTGTTTTGGGTGGATTTGGGAGATATTCTCTGCGTTTCTTGGGCCAGTGTTTGATTCTTTCATTATTTTAATGCTTAGCCATTACCTCTTCAAGACTTTGTTAAGGGGTGCCTGGGTGGCTCAGTGGGTTAAGCCTCTCCCTTCAGCTCAGGTCATGATCGAGCCCCACATCGGGCTCTCTGCTCAGTGGGGAGCCTGCTTCCTTCCCCCTCTCTCTCTCTCTGCCTGCTGCTCTGCCTACTTGTGATTTCTCTCTCTCTCTCTCTCTCTGTCAAATAAATAAATAAAATCTTAAAAAAAAAAAAAAGACTTTGTTAAGACCACTGTTGAACCATCTAGGTGTTCTTTACTGCTAATACCATGTATCTTTTAAATTCTAGCGTTTACATTTGTCAATTTCTTACAGTTTTCAACTCCACTGAAATTCCCCTTCGATCCAAACATATGTAGATTCATATGTAGATTTTGTAAATCATAGTTCATTTAAATTTCTTGTTTGATATTTTTATTATCTTTGTAGCTCTGTCTGATACTGCCCATTTGTCTCTTGGATGTGGGTTGTTTTTATCTATTTGTCTCATACATTTTGGTTGAATGCTGGACATTATACTCTGTATACACTGTATGGGCTGAGATAAATTGTGTGGGAATAAGCATAGCTTTTTATTTACTGGACCAGATAGTAAATATTTTTTACTTTGCCAGCCACAGTCTTTGAGTTGTACTTCATCTGTCACTACCAGATTAATTTTTCAACTAATATTTACATGGTGTATATCATTTTCCATCCTTTTGTTTTCGACCTAACTATATTTGAAGTGAGTTTTATTTGAAATTTCATATAGGTAGCATATAGTTGGGTCTTGTGTTTTTTATCTACTCTGCCAAAGTCTGCCATTTCACTGTTTTCTGTTCCCTCTTTTTCATATGTCTGTCTTGTTTTTCTGCCTTCCTGAAAAACTTGAACAGTTTTTTAGAATTCCATTTTGATGTACGTATAGTATTTTTGTGTGGATTTCTGTAGATTTGCTCTAAACAGTATGCATGCATGACTTGTCACAATCTAGTATTGTTGACGTTTAACAGTTCAAGAGTAGAAACCTTTTCTGTGTTTACATCCCTTTGCCCTCCCTGTTTTATAATATAATTGTCTTATATATTCCCTTATATATGTTGAGAACCCCATCAATGTTATCATTTTTTGCTACAACTTTGAAACATAATTTAGAAAACTCAAGAGGAAAAGGAAAGTCCATTGTATATACCTGTATTTTTGCTCTTTCCATTGTTCTTTCTTCCAAGAGATTTGTTGATTGTTTTTGCCATCTTGTAACTATTTCTTGTTTAGATTCCCAAAGACTGTTGACTGAAGAAAAAGAGACAAAACAATAGGCTATTTATCTGTAAATAGAAAGATTGAAATGACAGTGTAGAGAAGTGAGGTCATGTTCTGAATTAGGCACTTTTCTTGGACTTGGTAAGACCCAACCACCACTTTGCACTGTGGAAGTCTCATGATTTAGGGTGATGCTACGATGAGAAGGCCAGTAAGGATCTAGTAAGGGAGCGGCTGAGGAAGCCCCAAATTTCCTTCCAGATTGGCAAGTCTATATTTTATTATGTTCAGTTCCTAATTGTGACCATCTGAATTCAAAGGATTTTTACTCAAATACTTTATTAAGTGGTAAACCTAATTCTGAAGATTCTTGACATAAGTCACCTGGACAGGTTCTTTTGCATTATCTTTTCAATATTATAATTTTATTTTTTTTTTAAACATTTTTATTTATTTGTCAGAGAGCACTAACTAGTGGAGCAGCAGGCAGAAGGAGAAGCAGGCCCCCCTCCTGAGCAGGGAGCCCCCATGCGGGACTCGGTCTCAGGGTCCTGGGATCATGACCTGAGCCTGAAGGCAGACAGTTAACCAGCTGAGCCACCCAAGTGCCCCTAAAGTTACAATTTTAAAGCAGTTACTCTTGTTTTGATTAATTCTGTGTTAAGGAGAAAAACACTGTGTGGCTTTTCTTTCTTTATTAGGCACAAGACTTGAATGTCATCGAAGAAGTGATTCGAATGATGTTAGAGATCATCAATTCCTGCCTGACAAATTCTCTTCACCACAATCCGAACTTGGTGTATGCTCTGCTTTACAAACGAGATCTCTTCGAACAGTTCCGAACTCATCCTTCATTTCAGGATATAATGCAGAATATCGATCTGGTAAGTGTAAATGGAGACATTATGATTCTTTTTTAAGTATCAAAGCAGCAAAAGTTGAAGAAACCTTGCCAAAAACTACAAAAGTTAAAATCCCTTCTTTGAATGTAAAGCGTATTTGTAGTTTTTTCTGCCATAGTAATTATTGTATTCTGTGTGTATATATATATATACACACTCACATATATTTGATAGAATGGTGATCATTCTTTATACAGTTCTGTATTCTGCCATTTTTACTTAGCCTTTAGATCATCACCATTTTTCTGTGGTATCATCAATTCTTTGAAAATCTCCCATTTTAATATCTGTATAACCTGTATTATGGATGTCCCAAAAGATTATTTATTTATTTTTAAAGATTTCATTTATTTATTTGACAGAGATAACAAGTAGGCAGAGAGGCAGGCAGAGAGAGAGAGATGTGGAAGCAGGCTCCCTGCCAAGCAGAGAGCGTGATGTAGGGTTCAATCCCAGGACCCTGAGACCATGACCTGAGCCAAAGCAGAGGCTTAGCCCACTGAGCCACCCAGGCACCCCTCAAAAGAGTATTTAACCATTATCCCACTATTACTCATTTTGGGTGTTTCACTTATTTTATGTTACTTCATAATTTATGAACAGTTTGTAAATAAATCTTATCTCAACTTATTTTTCAGTTACATTTTTGGCATAGTTTTAGGACTAGAATTATACTAATTTTTACTGTAAGGGTATCTGTATTTTTAAGACTGAACACATCCTGCCAGATTGCTTTCCAGAAACACTGTGCAGTTTATGCACCTGTAAAACATCTTATATTTCCACACCTGATTTATGAGAGGGTCTGTCCCACTACATACACTCTTGCAACTTTGAGTATTATACTTATTTTAATATTTGTCTTTTTATATCAAAACTGGCATTTCATTATCATTTTGGTTAATTTTTTTCTAGCATGACAATACTTTTCACAGGTCTATAAACTTTTACTTTCTGTCTTTTCTAAAGGTGTTTTTGCCAAATTTTCTATTGTTGTGTTAGTGTTTTCTAATTCAGTTTGATTCCACAACTATTTTTTTCCTCACAGATTAATCTCTTTCATTAGGATACTAGAGAAAAACTTAAAGAAAATGGCAAAAAATATATTCAGCAATTTATCAAGCAAACCATTTCTTATTGGTAATTTATTTATTGTAGTAGAGCAAATGAGTAGGAAAAAAATCATCCATATATAATAGGATCATCTTACTAACTGCTAAAGATAGAGGCGCCTGTGTGGCTCAGTGGGTTAAAGCCTCTGCCTTCGGTTCAGGTCATGATCCCAGAGTCTTGGGATCGAGCCCCACATCGGGCTCTCTGCTCAGCAGCGAGCCTGCTTCTCTGCCTACTTGTGATCTCTGCCTGTCAAATAAATAAGTAAATAAAATCTTAAATACTAAAGATATTGTATGAAAACATTCTGAGAAAAACTATATGTAGGATATTTCTATTTTTTCCTTTTTTTTTTTTAATTTTAATTCCAGTATAACTGATATATTGCGTTGTATTAGTTTGAGCTGTACAATACAGTGACTCAGCAATTCTGTACATTACTCAGTGCTCATCAAGATAAGTGTACTCTTAATCTTCTTCACCTTTTCACCTATCCTCCCACCCATCTCTCCTCTGGTAACCGTCTGTTCTCTATAGTTAAAAGTCTTTTTTGGTTTGTCTCTTTTTTCTTCGTTTGTTTTGTTTCTTAAATTCCACAGATGAGTGAAATCATATGGTTTTTCTTTCTCTGATGTATTTCATTAGCATTATACCCTCTAGATCCATCCATGTGGTTGCAAATGGCAAGATTTCTTTCTTTTTATGGCTGAATAATATTCCATTGTGTGTCTGTACCACATCTTCTTTATCCACTCATCAATCAGTGGACACTTAGATTGCTTCCATAATTTGGCTATTGTAAATAATGCTGCTTTAAACATGGGGGTGCATATGTCTTTTTGAATTCATGTTTTCATGATTCCACAATCATTCCTTGAGTAACTAATAATGATTCACAGTACCAGGCACGAGAGTAAACCCAAGAGCCAACATCCTTGTCCTTGTGTTACTCACATTCAGGAAGACATTCAATCATTGTATTCTCACACAGGTAGAAATATGCAAGTTCGGTCATAAGTAAGCATAGGTACATACCTCTTTCTTGGATGGACACCCAGAAGTGGAATTGCTGGGCAGTGTGTTATGCCAACTGTTAAACATGGGGTCCTACCATTTGACTGTCCGACCAGTGGTGTGTGAGAGGTTCTGTTACTTCCCATGAACACTTAGTTTTGTCAGTTTTGTGATGGCATCGCATTATAGTTTTCATCTATAATTTATTAATTCCCATTGAGGATGAATATTCCCCCACCCCCCAATTTGGATTTCCTCTTGTGAGTTTCCATTCAAGTCCTTTTCCAGTTTTTCTGTTGTTTATTTTCTTGCAGATACTTGATGTGCTCTAGATTCTAGGCAATTTTCTCGATTATGTGTTACAGACATCTAGTCTCTAATACAGCCTCAGATTTTCAGGCATAACTCTAAAACTCCTCTCAAAATGGTCAAGCAGACCCAATAAAATTTTCATTTCTATCCTTTTCTTGGAGACCTGCTTCCTGCTTTTTGCCCCAGCTATGTTGTGCTCTGGTTCTTGTGCCCAGCTGTGGCATCTTCTTAGGAATTTCCTTCACTTGGCTCTTCTGATTGACATCGGCTCCTCTGTCTTCCTCTTTCTTGGTTTACTGCTCTGTCTTGGTGGGAGCATAGACTACGTAGTAGCTTTCTGGGAAAAGGATGTGAATGAGGTATATTTCATTTTAATTTTCAATTTATAGATAAACCAGCTTAGAAAGATTTTTACTTGCTCACAGTCACACATTCAGAAAGTCATAGAGCCAGGACTCAGACCAGGCAGTTTGATGACAAAGCCCATGCCCATGTTTATAATCATCAGGCCTAACTACTGTACCCCTTCGCTAAATGGTCCCACAGTTTCTCACTCGCTGCTAAATGGTCCTACAGTTTCTCACTCACCCCTTTGCTAAATGGTCCCACAGTTTCTCACTCACGAGCCATATCCACAAACCTGGAGACAGTTCTCTTTCTCTCTCAAAATCTCTTCTGATGTCAAATCAGTCTTTATTCCCCAATGATAGAACTGAGGATCCTTCTTAGTAACAAGGTGATTAACAGTTGACATCCTTAAAAACATCTTGAAAAGACTATATTTTTGAAAAGGCACACGAGAACCATGGAAAGGGTTTACACTACCCCCATTCAAAACTTAGTGTCTTTTGAAAGAAGTGAAGATCAGGGTTAAGGTGAGGAAAAGAAGGGACCTCGCTGCGTATCACACAGTGTATGACCATGTGGAAATGGAAGCAGGGTGTTAATTGGACTTACATCCAGGGCTCACTTTCCTGTGGCTGACAGAAGAATGGGCCACTTACACTTCCGTGTATTCAGCAGAAAGGGCTTCTTATGGTAAACATTTGGCCATATGCTGTTATGCGCTTCTTTAAACTAGGCAAATAAATGCCTGAATGTTGTTGAGCACCTGCTAAGTGCTAGGAATGAGGCTAAGTACTTTCATATACATTATCTCTTTTTTTCTTCTCCTTTTTTTTTTTTTTTAAATTCTTCTTAAACCAGTAAACAGTAAACTAGGTTTGATTATCCCACTTAGTGGATAAGAAAACCAGGATGTTGAGGGACAGTTTCTCAGGTGATTTTCACACAAATCCCAGCCTAAGAATCATTGTCTTAAATGATGATTAAATATTCAAATAGGTCCTGATTGTGGATAATTTGCATATACAGTATCTCATGTGACCCCCTAAACCAGGGAGGCCCAGCAGGGCTTGAGAGGAAAAATTGTTGGCCCAAGGTCACTTAGCCTGTAAGTCACTCAGCCAGGCCTCGAAGCCAGATTAGAAACTCCATGCTTTCAGTGTGCACTTAGATAAACCTGAAGTAAAATTCTAAATGGTCAGGCTGTCCAACAGTTTTTTGTTGAATACTGCCATCCAAAATAGTGCAGGCACAATGGAAGTTCATTCAAAAAGTTGTTTAAACTCTTTTGCATATTTTGAAAAGAATGCCATGACAGAGCTGTGAATAACATCTCTACTTTTTGCTTCTTTCAGCACTTTGCCTTCCCCTTCCCTGACCTAAATGCCCTGAAATCTGGCTCCAGCAAGCCTTTGCTCTATCTTTTTTCATGGAGTTAACCTTGAAAAGTATTGGTAAAAGAGACAATGAATTACTGTTATTTTTAGCTGACAAGGAGTTCAGAGTTGATATTTTTCATTAAGACAGTCAGCAGTGTTAAATATCTGAGACAGGAGGCACTAACCTTGGAGCACCTTTAACTTCCGCAGATCCTTCCAACGTGTTGTCCAAATGACCAGATTATCTATGAGTCACTGCTGTATATCCCTCCCATCTAACCCATAGGTGATCTGATCTGGGTGAATTAAGTAACAGGACAATAGAATTGTGACACCAAATGAGAGAAGATGTGAAAGGAATTTCATGGCTGAATATAAGAAAAGAGCAGAGGCAATTAATAGTAACATGTGCAGTGTGTTAAAGGCAAAAACTGTTCTTATCTCTGGACAGTGTAAAAGTCATGTTAGATTTTGTGTATTTCCGAACCCAACCGTCCTTACTGAGCTCCAGACAAGTGCGTCCAGTTGCCTACCTGACAATTCCACAAATGTTGAAGAAGGTTCAATCAGAATTCCTTGTTTCCTTCAAAGAGTCAAACACAAAATGAATCAGCTCTTCCTTGTGCGGTCTTCCTTATCTCAGTAAATGACATCAACATCAACCAAGTTTCTTAAGCAAAAAAAAAAAAAAAAAAAAAAAGAGGAGAAATGAGTGCTGGTCAGAGTAGGGGTGGGAAATTGCAAGTCCAAAGAGCGCAGTCAGAGAAGGCCTCTCCGAGAAGGTACATCTGAGCTAAGACTTGAAGGAGGTAGAGAGTG